CTTCTGTGTGTATCTCTATATATCCTCTTCTTCTTCTTACAAGGACACCAATCACTGGATTTCAGGCCTATCCTGCTCCAGTAGGAATTCATCTTAATTAATCATATAAGCAAAGATCCGACTTCAACACAAGGGTCATGTTCTTAGTCCCTAGGTGGGATGAATTTGGAGCAGTTGGGGGGAGATGGAGGGACACCACTCAAGAAATTACAACCAAGTATCCACTTTCCCTTGAGACAATATGGAAGGATTTCCAAACACTGTAATTCTGATTCCTCATATAAAAGAAATTATAGAAGGATTCACAGAAAAGGCAAGGTCCTCAAAAGAAGACATAAGCAATTGTGACACAGAAAGGAATGGTTGTAAAAACTGAAATACCATTATTAAGGTCCTTATACCATTGATACTTAAGATCAAAAAGTAAAAATCATTGTTTCTCAGTAAAATGACTTTAAAATAGTGCTACCTAATGAGAAATATGTACCTAATTAGGTACTGATACATTGGTATAGAGGACATCAAGACACCAGCAAGCATGGCAGTTGTATAGCCTTGGATAAATGGTGATAAGCACCAGTCTTCCACACCAGGACTACAATGTATTCTTAGAGGCACTGTTCCATAGTGGATAGAGCAGGTGCTTTGAATCAGGGTCAGGTTTAAGTTCAATTCACAGCTTTACCACATAGTGGCCCTTGTGGTTTGGTCTCGTTGATTCTGAGTCTCAGGTTGCTGAGTTGCAAGATCGATACACTAATTCTCATTCCAGTGAGCTTTATGAAGACAAATGAGCCGGTGCTTGTCAATGATAGGCGTATAGAAAGAAATTCAGATGTCAGTTGAATCAAGTTATACTCTATTTCAATTTCAGTATGAGATCATGAGATCTAATTTAACTCTGGCCATATCTATGATGTAATTTTCTAGACAGCTGACCCAATACTGAACTTCCTACAGCACATTTTGAAGTGAACATCGTCAATTCTAGCATTTTCTATTGATTTTGCTCCAAGCTCTTCAAACTTGAGATCTAACTCTACTCTAAAACAATCCGGCCATTATAGAGCCCTTGATAAGTAAGTGAATATGGCCATTTCATTCAACATCTGTGACTTCTTCCAAAAGCCACCCTTTTGATGAAATCGCATCTTGGTTTGCTGATAGTACTACGTAACTTCTTCATGATTCTTCTAGTAATGTAACTAAAATGATAGTCTTTGTAGAGAGACCAGATATCTGGAATAGTTCATTTCCTGAAGGGAGATTCAGAGAGTTGGCTTTGATCCCTTGATTCATTTGTATATCTCTTCTAAGGCTTTGGCCTGCTTTCATTTTAAAAAATAGAAAATATATATTATAAAGATTATTACAAGATTCTTGAAGGTATCATTACACGTGACCGAGAATTCTTCCCACTGTTTCTCAGTAAGCTACTCAACTACAAATTGGACTTTAGGGTATATGCAGTTTGATTCAAGGCAGGATGGGGTCAAAAAGGAGACTGGATTGAAGAATTCTATGAAAATGCAACTTCTATTTTTCTTCATTTTTGTGACACACTCAGCTTGCTTTAATATTTTAGGGACAGCTTGACCCTTTCTAAGTGTGTCAAGTATGCTGTGTGATTATTCATCCCATCACTATCCTGATTCCACAGTATTTATACTTTCTGAGTATCTGTTCCCCAGAAATAAAGACTGAATCAGGCCTTCCTGGGGCCGTTAGGGGGCTTTGCTTATTGTATTTTTTAATTCTGTTTTTCTTTGATTTATTTGACCTTTGAGATGATTTAGTTAATTACTAAAAAAATATTGTATCTTATGCCAAAGGGGAAAATATCCCAGAATAGCAGAAAATTGAGAATGGGAAGGATCTGTTTGGATCAATCATCCCTTTCCTGTCTCCTCCATGCCACTCCTTCAGACTAGTTATTGAGCTCTGCATAAAAATATCTTCACAGACTAACCCATCTTGTTCTATCTTTCTGTAGTTTGACAGCTCTAAGGATTTAGGCAATATGAGAATTCTCTCTTAAATTGAGTTGAAATTGGTCTTGCTATGACTTACAGTGCTCTGCTTTTTAGTATCTTTATAAACTTGTCAATTTTAATACATTTGAAATTTTCGAAGTATTATGGTCATTTTTCTTATTTATTCTAAAATTGTCCCATATTTACCAAGTGATCTGTGTTCAAGTTGGGTCATTTTGACCTAACTCATTTTATCTTTTCATAATTTCCTCTTGTTCTTTGTTATGGGAAGATGTTCCAGGCTCATTTTGTGTATTTTTTACTAAGATCAACAATTAGCCATTATTCTAGAGAGCCCCAGTTCATTTTTGGTTACTTTCCAAATCATATTTGCAGGAAATTTCTTTTTTAATATATGATTGCTCTATTATAGGAATATTCTTTTTGATAGAAATATTAAGAGATAAAAGTTCTAATAAATCCAATGATAACACCATCATCCAGCAATAATCATGTTAACATTTTATCTCCTGAACTGCCTTTCCATTTAAAGTGCCTTGCCATAACTGCACTTTAACTAAGAAGAAAAAGAAATGATGGATGAAAATAGATTATACCTTAAATTTTTAGTCCAAATTGGTTGACTGAATATTTTAACCTGTTAATTGTTTTTGAAAAGCCATAATGTTGGTTTATTGAATGTCCAGTGCAAGCCGATACGTGTGGAGAACCTGAAATGTAGGTAGTGCAGGTTTTGCAAAAGCTGTTTTGTTACTATTGTTGGCAAATGCCTGAGACTGCCTACAACGCTGCAGGAATCCAGTGGAGGGCAAGAATCCATAGGATCAATGGAGTTGCAAAGAGGCCCTAATGAAAAGTCTTTACAGAATCAGAGTATTTTTAACTTGTCAGCCTTTCATTTGTATATAACATATAATAAAGCTCGAGCAATGTTTAAAGGCAAGGTTTTGAAATTGGTGGAGAGCTATAGAAAACCTAGATTGCTGTTAATGTTCTGGTAGTTCATCTCTGGTTGCAGGGCTGTCAATGTGTGCAGTGAAAAGGTTTGTTTTTCAAGTAATTTTAAGAATCTCTATTAGCCTGGGGGTATAAGAAAGTTAATTTCTCCATGATTTGTAACAACTTTAAGCATGACAGTAAAAACCAGTGTCAATGGCAAAATAATATAAACTGATTAATTAGGCATCTTTGGTATTTTTGTTGCTCTAGTGATTCCAGGATGAAAAAAAACTTGGGAGCTGCATCCTCTGGCACCCAGTATCACTGGACTCCATGTCACATGCAGCCTTTGCGACTGAAAGAGGATTAAGTGACATTTTTTTTGGCCTGTCATGCTCCCTTTTGCTCATGGATGCTTTAATGTTCAAGTGGCATTTTATGCCTGCAGGAATGTTCTCCTGCTTCTTTGTTCGCCACCCTGTTCATTAATCTTATAAAATTACCAAGCATTTTATTTAGCATTTTGCAATATAAAATCGCAAGCACTTCTCTAAGCCACTGATTCTGAGAGTGTGGTCACATAACCAGCAGCACAAGCAGCCTTGGGGAGCTTATTGGAAATGCAAATTCCCAGCCCTCCACCCAGACCCACTGAGTCAGAAACACAATCATTTGTGTTCCAGGAAGCCCTGCTAGTGCCTCTGATGCACGTTCAATTTGGCATTGCTTTAAATATTCACGTATTACTTATACAACCAATAAATCAAATGCGTAGTAAATGAACAAATCTCCTTAACCATTTAAACATTGATTGCAAACTTAATCAAATGCTTTTAAGCACTTAAGTTAATCACAAGACTGGCATTTCTGATTTCCTCCATTGCTATAAATGTTTTACAATGAAAAGAAATGCACATAAAATACCACATTGATTATAGAGATGATTTTTATTTTGAAAACAAAACCAAGCACAAGACTGTTAATATCATAGATTTAACTTTATTTTTTGTTCTTAAATCTCCTTCTATCCTTACACTTAAATGGTTCTGGAATTTACGGTTCTACACACTGCTTGGTTGTCAGGATTTCCAGAAGAGGCTATTTTTACATTATTTATTTATTTCAATTTATTTGAAAAGCAGAGAAGCAAAGATGGAGACAGGTAGAAAGAAATTTTCCACTCACTGGTTCATCCCTGAATGCCTCCAAGGGCGAGTTCAAGGCCAGGCTGAAGGCAGGAGCCTGGAACTCCTTGTAGGTCTCCCATGTGAGTGACAAAGGTCTAACTACTTGAGCCATCACCTGCTGCCTCCCAGCGTGCACATTAACAGGAAGCTGGATTGTAAGTAGAGGAGCCAGGACACTAACCTGCACTCCCATATGGGAAGCAGAGTTATATAACTACTGCACCCAATGTCTTCCCCATAAGAAACTACATTCACACCTTCTCAGAGTTTATGTAACTCTACCATGCTGGAAAGGAAAACTAGTCATTGAAGAAGCTATTCTTATACACATTATGACCTTTTACAAACACAACTTGTTTCATTTAAGAATTTTTGTGGGCCTAGCATGGTAGCTTAGTGGCTAAAGTCCTTACATTGCATGTTCCGGAATCCCAAATGGGCGCCAGTTCTAATCCCAGCTGCTCCTCTTCCCATCCAGCTCCCTGCTTGTGGCCTGCGAAAGCAGTAGAGGATGACCCAAAGCCTTGGGACCCTGCACCCACATGGGAGACCCAGAAAAAGCTCCTGACTCCTGGCTTCAGATTGGCTCAGCTCTGGCCATTGTGGTCATTTGGGGAATGAATCAGTGGATGGAAGATCTCTCTGTTTCTCTTTCTCTCTGTAACTCTGCCTTTCAGATAAAAGTAAAATTAATTTTATTTACTTGCTTCTGTAATGACTACATATTTAGCATTGGCTTTGAAATCTGTCATGTTGACAGGCTGTAATCTAGCAAAACTTGTAATTTATTTACATTTGTTATTATTGCTTAGGATCTTATGTTACAGAGGGGATTGTCAAGCATAATTAACTTAGAGTATCTTTTCTTGGTTTGCCATAGTGTGTTGTCTAGCATGACAGATGCAGTGTTGGCTCGAGTGTATAAACAATCAGATCTGGATATGTTGGCTAAAGAAGCATCCATCCCAGTGGTCAATGGGCTCTCAGATTTGTACCACCCTATCCAGATCCTGGCTGATTACCTTACACTTCAGGTTGGTTTATCTTTTTGCTTTACAAAAGAACAAGACAGATAATTACTTGACAACCTTAACTGCAGCCATTTACTTGTATGATGGCATTGGCTTTTTATTTTCTTATATTATCTTGGCAATGAGTTGTTACATATGTGTGCATACAATATACCTGGGGGAAATGGGAAATTGTTGAAAGACATTAATATCATTCTGTTGTCACCTGTGTTCAGCCCCTTTTAGCTTCTCTCTGTCTCTCCTCGTTCTCTTCACCATTTTGCTTTTGGAGCCATAGTAAACACAGATATTGAAAGAGAATGCTGGAAGACACAGCATGGACAAGCCTTGTGTGGTCTAACATTCAATTCTGTGGCTTGGGAGTAAAGACTATTGGAACTTGTTTTCAATATTCATAATGGCCAATCACAAAACCACTTTGGAAGAGGGGATAGAGTTGAGGCTCAGATCTAGCCACTTTCCTCCAAATCAGGATTTTCTTTGCCACAACCTATCTACATGGTATTGCCACTTGAACTGTAACAATTATAATTACAATTATTGTGTCTATAAAAGACTCAGAGAACATAGAACAAACCAGATAGTCATATTTTCCTCCAAATTTACGTAAGAACACACATTGAAATGTGAGGTTAAACTCAAAATAATGCTATTCCAGATGCTGATAATGGCACCCATGCAGGGGTGAGCCAATAATATCAGATACAAGTGGCTGGCTGTGGGTGTGGGTTTACATGAACATCAGATAATTTAATGCTCTCCCACAGACTTTATCATTGTTAGGATATAAAAGAATTGAGGAACAATGAACTTTGTTACTCATCATAGTATCTTATTCAGAACCTAGTACAATGGTTTTATGTAGGAGATACTCTAAGTAGGATGTCAATGAATAAATAGCAGCTTATTTAAAGCATGGGATTCAAATCAGATAGACAAGGATGTATGTCCTAGCTTAGCTCTGAAGTAGTTCCATGATGTCCAAATTTCTTAGCCTTTCTCCTTTTCATCTTATCTTTATAAACATTTATACATGCTTTAAAAAACACTGCTTAAAAAAAAAGGAAACATTTGTCCATGTGCCCATTATACAGTCTTGTCAAATATTAAAGTGGTGGAGCAATTACTTTAGAATTGTCTTTATAAATAAAATATTTCAGACAGAGCTGAAGGCCATTGTGTAATTCTGCCTGATCCTGTTTTCTCCCACTCTAGAAAGAAATTATCTGAATGTTTGTATTTTAATTCCTAGGCATGTTTTATAGTTTAACTTACACACATGTATATCCATAAATCTTACTGTACTAGTCTTACACTATGTGTAATACAGTATTCTGTATGTATTTCACTTTTATATTGATGGAAACAGCTCAGAGCTGCCACACTATCCTGGTCCAGGTGCATTGTACTTCCTTTCTTATACCACAGAATGTAAACAACGTAACAACAGTGATGTTTGACTCCTTTGCCTAGACATTGATGGTGTTGAATGAATGAGCACAACTAAGGTTAAGATTTGAAATGCATGAAAATCTGAGTCTCTGTGGGATTCATAGAGTAGTTGAAGCTGTTTTTTTTTTTTTGATTCTACATTCATGTCATTGCTCTGTACAATATAAAAATAATCACTTATTCATTCCAACAAAGTATTAAACACTGAGGTGAAGTTCGTTTCCTATATTAACACCCCTAGTAATTGCTGCATCCAGGTGGCATTGCTTTCAATGTAATCTCGCTCACCCTTTGCCTTTTAGGAACACTATGGCTCTCTGAAAGGTCTTACTCTCAGCTGGATTGGGGATGGGAACAATATCCTGCATTCCATCATGATGAGCGCAGCGAAATTTGGAATGCACCTTCAGGCAGCTACTCCAAAGGTACGAAAGCTTTCTGCCTTGAAAATAACCTCCTCTGAAATCAGACCCACATGCAGTCACCCAGTGACAACAGAGCTCTCTGCCATTCAAGGACAGCACAGGTGAGCCTGTGAACTGTGTTCTATTGTCAGCTCTATTAAATAGCTGTCTGGCCTCAGGAGAGTCCAATTTCCCATTCCTACCATAGTAGGTAGCCTTGACCTGTGCCTGTTGTTGTGAGTCTGTGTTAAACATGTCTGAATCATGCCTTTGGATGTCTTAATAGCAGCCATTGTGATGACTGGCATCCTTGTGCAGTATCACCACAACGGCTCAAGAATGCAGTGCATCCGGCTAGCATAGAATTCTCCTTGCAGGGCAAGAATTCTGTTGTTGTTTCTTTTAAATACCACAGTTTGGTGAGAAGAAATGTCAATCCAATGTGCATAGCACTACACTAGCTTAATGTTTCAAAAATTAACTCTAGGGATCTTTGAGCTTTTAGATTTGAGTCTAGTGTGGCTGCGAAAATAACCCGTGCATATTTCCTTGGCGCTAACTCTTGGAATAAAATGTGTAAGAAGCATGACCTTCTTCCACAGACCATATGTATGCCCTTAGTTACACAAGAAACTGCTAATAGGTTTTGCTTCTGAAGACAGGAACTGGCTGTTTCACAAATAAACAGAGGAGGGAGATGTTATTTCCACCACATATCTTTTTATAGAGTTTAATCCCTTAACACGTAGATGCTTTATTTACATAATACTATAAATCAATAAGTACACTACTCTAAAAGGATACCCACCCCCCTGAGATGCTTAAAGATCCAATCTCTCCTGGATTGTTTTCCCCATTATGTTTTTCATTGGTTAGTAAGACCCTATCAAGAGCCATTTGAGGGAAAAATCCCCCCTAAATACAAAACATTTCAGAAATGAAATCTTCATTTGTGGTAGAAGATAGAACTGACCATCTCATTAAGGGCAATTCACAATTCTTACACAGCAGCATGTTTCTGATCAAGCGCATGCTTGCTGTCATCTCCAAAGCCACTGCTGTTCATTGAAAAGCTAAAACAGCCAAAGGCGAATATATGAGACTTGAACATTCCTCCCTGCTCCTGCTTCCTGAGTTTGAGGTGATTATTTGCCAACGATTGGGGACGTGAATTATACACTGTTGACTATATGCTTAATTTCTACAATGAAAAAATACTCAATTCCTTGAGTTTCTTGTGCACTTTCCAAACCCTCACCTGCCAGCAGCAATGTGTTAAGCCAAACACCCTCACAGCACACCCCACAGGGAGGATGTCTGTACAGGTGACTTATTAAGGAACTACTCCCAGGGGAAACTGATAAGGGACCTGGGAAGTAGGTCAGGCAAGGGGGAAAAGTCTGAGCAAAGGTATTGATGGTGAGCAAGCATCCTGAGGGGATCCGGGTGCTCAGCTGGATGATTTGGTCCCCTCATGCATAACCCCACACAAAGGAGCCTGAGGCCGCAGGTGTGCTGGGGGTAGAAGTAATCTCCCAGAATTGTCCCAATCCATTGTGAGGGACATAGGCATTCATTTTTTTTTCTAACCAGTTATCACTTGAGGGCAGCAGAGGAGGTCAGGTGGTAAATATCCTGGAACTTTTGGCAGGAAAAGCAGTCTGGTGTCCATAAGTTACTGAAGAAAAACCACAGGTGCTGAAATAAGGAGGTGAAACCAAACCCTAAACGGGCACCTGACTAGAGCCCTAGCATTGTGTGTGACCTCCTGCCAAAGCAAAATTAAATGCCATCAAATGTTTTTCTCTGGTGTTCTGGATAAATCTATTTGAAACAATGTATCCTGCTCTCTTAGTTTCCCAGGATTGTGGATTGGTCAGCTTGTCACTACCATAATGGAGTATATGAGACAAGCTACTTAGAGAAAGAACTAGATTTTGGCTCATAGTTTTGCAGGTTCACAATCCCTGATCACAGCAGACATTGGTTCAGCTCTCTGATCAAACTAGAAGATGGCTATGACAAAGAGTGTGCAGATCTTATGGGAAGAAGGGAAGCTGAGGGAGTGACTGAGCCCAACCCAGCTTTTCTAACCAACCCTCTCATGACAAGTACCTTCAGAAGGTATGTCCCTAGGGATGTAGGACCTCCTTAGTTGGCCCCCCCAAAATAGAGCTGACTTAAATCTCCACCCTCTTAGTACTCTGTTTGACTTTGGAATCTAATTGCGTGAGTTCGGAAGTCATGCCTTATTCAAACCAGAGCAGGTCACCATAGCAAATCCTTGCAACCTGAGGTATGTACTTAAACCAACTGCTCACTATATAGAAAGGGTGAAGCTATTCTTGCTGAAAATCTAGTTTTTTAAAGATGTATTTGATTTTTATTTGAGCAGCAGAGTTACAGAGAAGAGAAAGAGAGAGATTTCATCCACTGGGTCACTCCCCAAATGGCTGCAGTGACTGGAGCTGAGCTGATCCAAAGCAGGATCCAGGAGCTTCTTCCCAGTCTCCCATGTGGGTGCAGAGGCCCAAGGTCTTGAGCCATCCTTCACTGCTTTCCCAGGCCATTAGCGAAGCACTGGATTGTAGGTGGAGCCTCTGGAACTCAAACCAGTGTCCATATGGAATTCTGGCTCCATGGGCTATGTCACCACACTGGTGTCCCAAAATCTAGTTTTAAAGAAAGGATCTATATTAATAAAATCTATTGTTATATTTAGTTTTCACAGATAGGGCATAAATTAAGAATAATTTTTCCGTGGTATAAGGTGCTCTTGGAAAACCTTTACTCTGTTGAAGAAATGTATGGTTTGAACATTTTATTGTTTGTCAAAGGCATTTTTATTAGCATCAGAGAAAAAAATGTCTAGTATTAGAGAAACTCATTTAAGTGATAAAGAAAAAACAACTAGTTAAATCTTGGTGGGAGCTAGAGTTTTAGAAAATTTTCTGGCAAATCTAATAGCAATTTGTGAGTATTCAGTTGTTAGTAGACCTTTAAAGATACAGCTAGGACAAAGAGTAAACGTAAGAAATATTGAAAAGTTTCCAGGGCTGTAATTAACCTATTTTCCCATCCTTCAACCAAGGATAACTTACGTGTTCAGGAAAAAAAAGTATATAGATATATATAGATATATATAGATATCTGTCCGTAGTCATTAATGTGCTCCATAAACTACCAGTGGTAATGATTCTAACATATTTGTGAGTGAATATTTAGACTGAGGTGGATTTGTTAGTCACCTTTTCATCTGGTTTGAGGATTTATGGAAAGGCCAATGAGTGATTTAGTGTTGAAAGCTGAGATGTGAGTCAAGAATCCCTCTCAGTATTCTAAGTCACGGCTCAGTGCATGCAAGGTTGGGTGATTTTCTAATTTCCAAATTTCTCTGTTGGTTTTCTAAGTACGTATTGATTCCTTCTCAGAGAATCATTGTACTCAGGGAGTAAAACCCCTTCTCTAAAGGGAAGGCTAAATTTTCAAGGCAGGAGGTACCTGGGGTAATATCCAAATCTCTTCACTTGCACGTACCAGGATAACTATTCACAACATTAGTTGCTAAATTAGCAAGTCTTGGTTAATTGCTTTCCTCAAATCCCTAAAAGCAAGACTGCAGAATTCACAGCAATTTGAGGGTAGCTTAGCCGTTAAAGTGTCTGCAGCCATCACCATCACCATCTGTGTAGTTTGTTTTCTCAAGGAGTTTGTACTGAGAAAAGGAACTGTGGCAAACAGTCACATGTAAATAAATACAGTTTCAGAGGAGAAAACGTGGACATGTTTGTCACAGGTTAGCGGTTTCCCAGGAAGTAGATTCAGACAGAGTTCAGCTTGTAGGATGTACACATGACCTTGAAATGGAGGAAGCAGGAGTGGGCAGAGAGAAAAGCCCAGCTGTGATGCAAGTCCTGAAACAGTCTTGGCCAGCTTCTTGGGGGAATGGTCATTCAGACTCGTCCAGAGTTGGACAGAGGGAGTCAGGTTTTCATACTGTCCTGCCAGTCACTGATGAAATGTGGCTTGCCCTGGAAGGGTGTGTGACCTTGACTGAGACAGCTCTCTGCAGCTGAGTAGACCATGTTCTGTTCCCAGCAGCTGCAGGGAACAGTCCTTTCTTCATGATTATTCATGAAGGGGAAATGGGGTGTTGGGGGAGGGGCATATTACCATAATGCCCCCACAGAAAATTAGGGGGGGAACCCGACATAAGAAATGTTAAGAATTCAGGAAAATCAGAAGGATAGAGAAAGGGGAGGGTAATTACGGTGCTGGAATTGACAAAGCTTGCCTACAGAGGGCCTGAAGGTGAGGCTGGCTTCCAGCTTTGAGGAGTTACTCTGCTGAAAATCCCCAGGAGGGGAGAAGGAAGGATGTGTTCAAGGGTGAAAGGCTGTAATGGCAGAAAAGGGCATAATGTATTCAGGGTTGACAAGAAGATTGGCTTTCCTGCAGCAGGATGTTGAGAAGAATTGAAAGGGACAGTAGCAGGGAATGTGGGCGGGGAGGCTTGATTGTGCTTAATCAGCTTTGACGTAAGAAACAAGGAGTAAACATTGAAAGCCTGAGAGGAAGCAATTTTCACTGCTGTATACAGAACAGCTGGAAGAAGGGTGAAGGGAGGCAGTGTGGCTCCTCGGGAAGGCCTACGATGATCCAGGGACTTTAGTTGCCTTCAGAATGTCTGCTTACCCGAAGATGGAACCTGGGTGAGCAAATCAGGCAGCCAGAGCACAAACTTGATGTCTCTGTGGCCCTAAGAATGAGTGCCTCTTGACATATTTTTACTGTCTCCTTGAATTTTCTGTCTTGCCATACGTCACTCTCCTCACTGGATTCTGACTGTACCCTCAGCAAGCCTTCCCGAACCAACACAAATTTGCAGCGAAAACTGTACTTGCATAAATACCAATCCAAATCAAGTGCCCTGTACCCAGGACTCTTGCTGGAAAATGCACAAAAATAAGCTGTGTGTTGGGGAGATTTGTAAGTATTTGACCAGTGGCCAGGGAAGAATCTTCTAGGGCTGGCATGGAGGGGGGCACATTTGAACTAACCTGAGATGGGAAAAAAACCAAAAGGAGTGGTGCTTGAAAAGACTCAGATCGGATCCAATGAGATGGCTCAGGCTAAATCCTCGCCTTGCAAGTGCCAAAATCCCATATGGGCACAAGTTCATGTCCTGGCTGCTCCACTTCCCATCCAGCTCTTCACTTATGGTCCAGGAAAGCAGCGGAGGATTCTGGCTCAAAGCCTTGGGACCCTGCACCCATGTGGGAGACCTGAATGAAGCGCCTGGCTCCTGGCTTTTGATTGAAGCTCCTGGCTTTTGATTGGCTCAGTTTTGGCCATTGCAGCCACCTGGGGAGTGAACCAGTGGATGGAAGATCTTTCTCTCTGTCTCCCTTTCTCTGTAAGTCTGATCTGCCTTTCAAATAAAAACCAAATAAATCTTATAAAGGAAAAGAAAAAGAATCAGACAAAAATGCATTCAGCTATACAATTAAAAATATATTCCTCTTATGCTGTTAGGGGAATAAGAAGAGTCTCTACCAAGAGTTAAAAAACACTGACTCTATATTTGTTTTTGTAACTACAGAGGTGAGTGATAATAACAGAAAAATGGGGAAATGTGTGCCTTTTAAATTCCAAAAGGCACATTATAATTGGAAATTCTAGATGTGAAAATAGTATTTTAATGAATATGGTTGGGCTACATCTTTCCACAGGAGGGCTCTTCCGAGGCAGCTGTCTGCTGATGGCCTGGGCAAAGCAGCAGAAGATGGCTTAAGTTCTTGGGCCTCTGCTACCCACATGGGCAACCTGGCTCAAGCTCCTGGCTTCTGTTTCTGCCTGCCTCAGCTCTGGCCATTGTGGCAAGTGGGGAATGAACCAGCAGATGGAAGAGCTTTGTTTGTTTTTCTCCTTCTATCTGTAAATCTGCCTTCCAAATACTTTTGTTAATGGAAAAGAGAGGGAATATTTTTGCGAAGAAAATGGTGCATGTATAAGTAAACACATGTGATGAAATTGCCTAAATAACAGTTAACTTCTTACTCCTTCAGGGTTATGAGCCAGATCCTAGGATAACCAAATTGGCAGAGCAGTATGCCAAGGAGGTATGTTTCTTATTTGTGAAACTATAATTGCCTTTCTCTATCCCGTGAGATTGTTTAACCGGCGTGCTTCTATATGCTAGAATGGTACCAAGCTGTCACTGACGAATGAGCCGTTGGAAGCCGCGCGTGGAGGCAATGTATTAATTACAGACACTTGGATAAGCATGGGACAAGAAGAAGAGAAAAAAAAGCGACTCCAGGCTTTCCAAGGTTACCAGATTACAATGAAGGTACAAATTGATGCCTCTCTGAAGGTTCATTAATTACATTCTTAAACGCCAGAACCACCTCATCACTTAACTCACTTTAAGGAGAACAAACTGTCCTTGCATATCTTATAAAGGACTCGCTAACTCTATTCCTTCTCTTTGGAAAGACACTTTTGTGCTGGATGGAGCAATTGAAAAGCCAAGCTTTCCTCTGCCACGGCCAGCCACACAGGTGTCGGAGTGCTTTGCTCTTTGCCAGCTTAGACTTGCAGTTATTTCCAATATATGCAACTCCTTCTGATTTCTCCCTTAAGCAAAGCCCCATAACTAGGCTTCTTTGAGCAGTCCTTGCCTTTATTTTCTAATGCCCCCTAAATGCACTTCAGCTTTCCCAACTCCCGCTGGGGCATTCCCGGGGGGCTATCACTCACCCTGATTCCTTCCTGTGCACTTTTACTAAGTTCCCAGGTGGCATGATGCTGTTTGTTTCAAGATCACATTTTGAGAATCCCTCTTCTGGAAGAGGTCTACCCTAAAATGTCAGGTGCCTATGGAGTTTTGTCAACAGAACAACTAATAGGCTTTGACAGTGAAAAAGATTGAGCAAGTACAATAAATATTTTATTGATAAACTAATACATAAATAGAAGTCCCTGACTATTACATGTCAAATAAAATGAAAGTCTTAAAAATAAAAATGAAGGGAAAGGGTGTGGGTAGGTGGAAGGGGAACTCCCTGAGCCTAAGGAACTGTATCATAAAAATGTTTTTTAAAAAAGTAAAACAAACAAAAAGAAATTCACAGAGATAGCCATGGCTAAACAATTTGACATGTATCATTGCAGCCCTTTTCTGCACATTCACATGTATAAGGGGACATTTAACAGGTTCATGGAGAATAGGAGTTTGTTGGTACCAAATTTGTTTTGGTGCAAAAATTGTCTTTGATTCATACGTAGAAGCTGGCATTTGCTACAGCACTGAGGATGCCAACATCTCATGTCAGAGTGCCTGACTTTGGATTCCAGCCCTGCTCCTGATTCTGCACATACAGGAAGGCAGCAAGTGATGGATCAAGTACTTGTGTATCTGCCACTTCTTTGTTAGACCTGGATTGGGCTTTGGCTTGGCCCAGACCCAGTTGTTGGGGATACATAGGGAATGAAGCAACAGGTGAGAGACCAGCCACTGTGCAACTATTAGTCTCCCAATGTCTCTCTGCCTTTAAAATACAAATCAATAAAAGTTAGCAAAGGAATCTATGCTTTGTTCATAATATGAATATTCTGTGAGCTTTTAAAAATATTTACTTTTCATTGGAAAGGCAGATGTACAAAGAGAAGGAGACACAGAGAAAGATCTTCCATCTTCACTCCCCAAGTGGCCGCAACAGCCAGAGCTAAGCTGATCTGAAGCCAGGAACCAGGAATTTCTTCTGGGTCTCTCATGCAAGTGTAGGGTCCCAAGGCTTTGGGCTATCCTCTACTTCTTTTCCAGGTCACAAGCAGAGAGCTGGATGGGAAGCACAGTAGCTGGGATATGAACTGGTGCCCATATGGAATCCTGGCGCATGCAAGGCGAGAATTTAGCCACTAGGTTATTGAACCAGGCCCTATTCTATGAGCTTTAAAAGACCCCTTATAAGCATAGATTTCAAAGTTTTTTTTGCACCAAAATAAATTTTTGGTTTCATTCCAGTTTCCATACAAATTTTGAAACACACTCCATATATGCCTTTGCATACAACTGTTGATCTTTTCATAAATAATATTTAAGACATACTGTTCTGACTTACTTCCTCCATCCAGCAAGCTTTATATATTCTTATCCATTAATTTAGTTATTTTTCATTATTCTTCTGTGGCTGTGTAGAATTTCAAACCATAAGTGGATGTAATTTACCTCAAATATATCATATTGACAAATTAGGCTGTATTCTCAGGATCTAAATTACAAGCAATGCTGCACTGAACATCCTTATATATTTTTTGCAAGTCATCAGTAGAAGCAAGATCCTCAAAAGAATAATTTCAGTGTGAAGTGGTATATACTTTATAAAATATAGGAGATGTTGCTGAATTTCCCACATAAAATGATGAACAATTTGTACTCCTCCAACTGTATATTTCTTTCTCCACATACTCTCTATTCTTAAATGGTATTTGCATTTAAATTTTATATAAATCTGGAAGCATGCTATTGGCAATTTCCACTTCTTTGTATATGCCTTGCTTCCATATTTTTTGCCAATTTTCATTTTAAAATTTTTATTATTGAATATAGAATCTCTTTATATGTGATGGCTGATCCCTTGTCCTATATGTGGGAAATGTTGACCTACCTATAGTTTACCCATACTTAATTTCACCAATATATAGTATTTTTCTGTTGCTGAAATTAAGGGTATGAACAACAGTCATTTCACTGATATATGACAAGTGTAAATGTTACTCCATTTCATCTGTCTTGTATTTTAGAAGCGTAATGTTCTGAATGTAGAGCTAGGATGAGAGGTAAGACACTATGAAGTACAAAAGCTGTAATACTGAGGTAAGAATGTATAAGGAAGTGTAATATTGGATCTGTTAGTGGAAGATGGAACTGAATAGGGAAATGCAACTTTAAAGGAATAATTATTGAAGAAAATGAAATCTGCTAATGCATCTGCTACTACATTTGCATAGGAATGAACTATCTATTGCATAGTGCCCATAATTGTTTAATACATTCTATGCTGTTTCCAAAATTATTTTAATCATTGGTGATTGTCAAAATTTTCTTCAAATGTAAAAAAAAGCATTGATTTGGAGATCAACTCAATAAAAATATTGCCACATCAAAGCAACTATTTTACATTTTGGAGAGCAATTGGCGATTTTGTTATCAGCCATGTGTTATACTCACAGAGGCCTTTACTGAACTGTTCATTATAGAATACTGAAAAACTGAGTGATTTAACTTGCAGTGATATTTTAGCTAATCAAAAAAAAAAACTATGAAATTGTGAAAGTCGAAATACCATGTATTCTCCCTGAATGCTTAAAGTCAAAGCCTTCCCTCTGACCTTTATGTTATTCTGTGTTCAGCTCCGGTCACCATACATATATGTTTTGAAATACTGAAGTAGGCAAGTATGACTGCCATGTACAATGATCGTGTCACCATCTCTTTAGACTGCTAAAGTTGCTGCCTCTGACTGGACGTTTTTACACTGCTTGCCCAGAAAGCCAGAAGAAGTGGATGATGAAGTGTTTTACTCTCCACGATCACTGGTGTTTCCAGAGGCAGAAAACAGAAAGTGGACAATCATGGTAAGCAAGAAATAGGGCGCAGGGGGTAAAGGCGAGTTCTCTGTGTACTCTAGCTTGGTTGATCTTGCCTTTGAGTGAATCCTAAGCAGCCAGGAGTAGCCAATGACATTACTTGCTTGTATGGTATGTATTTTTTTTCCTGAAAATCCTTAGTAAATCATTATCACTCATTAGTATAGTACTTTTTCATGGAATAAAATGTAGTCCCTTCCAAATAAACTTGTATTAATCAAAATTCTTATTGGCCTCCATTAGCCTGAGCACCAGTCACCACTGCCTAGCGACCATTATAAACTATAATTTTTATTTCAGAATCTCCTTGTGCATGTTTATGCAAGCCCCTAATTTAAAGCCTGGTACAAAATAAACACTCAAAAAAAAAAAAAGAAAAGAAAAGAAAAGAAAGAAAGAAAGAAACTAACTCTCCTACCCTTTCTCCCCATTATCTTCCTTCCATTCTTTTCTTTAGGAATTGGACAGATATAAATGGGAGAGACAGACTCCCCCATCTGCCAGTTCACTCCCTAAATGGCTCCAATGACCAAAGCTGGGATGGCCTGGATCCCAGAGTTAGGAGCCTCCCCCCAACCTCCCACATGGGTGCAGGGGCCCAAGCACCTGGGTGATCCTCTGCTGCCTTCCCAGGCCACTACGCAGGGAGCTTGACTAGAAGTGCAGCAGCTGGAGTAGAACCCATGCCTTCTTAACTATGTGAATATAAAAAGGGAAAGAAGGAAAGAAGGAAGGAAGGAAAGAAAGCAAGCAAGCAAGCAAGAAAGGAAGGAAGGAAGAAAGAGAGAGAGAGAGAGAGAGAGAGAAAGAAAGAAAGAAAGAAAGAAAGAAAGAGAGAGATACAATCTGGCTTCCAGTTCTAAGATGCCTGTTATACCTGTTACAATGGATATATGGTGTTTAACCCAGAGAAGGTGAAGACTGGACTCTGAGTGGCACTTGAAGGAGCACTAGAAGCCCTTCAAGCAGGGTGACGTCCAGCAGTGCTATTCAAAACACTTCAGTAATCACAGCATCCTCTCCACTCTGCACAGACCTTTGGATTCCCCCCCCCTTTTTTTTTTATCAAGGAAAACAAAAACAATCCTTTTCTACCCGCACCCTCCCACCACCACCAAAGAGTGGTACTGCTGCTGTAGGACTCCTAAAATGTCAGGTAGCTCTCTTCCTCCTCCCACAGATTTTACTATGCAGCTTAAAGTAAGCTAAATAGAGCCTGCAAAAAGAGTTGATACTCAGGGCACTAGTGTCAGCTGACTGTAAGTATATGTGCCTAATGCTGCTGCAAATGTGCTTTCGAGGATGTTAGGCTTATACTTCTATCCAAGTTAGGATGGCCAAGTAAAATACAGAGTACATAGATAAACAACAAATTTTTAGAAAAAAAATAGCAACTATTTTTTTAGTACAAATATGATCCGTGAACTTTTTGAACACATGTACAGTAAAAAAAAAACAAAAAACCTGTCTCTAAATCTGCCTTCTCAATAACAATAAATAAGCTTCTATAGGTTGCAAATAACCAAAACATATTGTAAATTGGAGGCACTGGGATTGAGAGGAATTGTTGCCCTCCAATAGAAATGCCTAACTTTCACTGATGACTGGGCAATCTAAGCATCGCCACCACCATGACATCTCATTTCAGCTCTCTGACGCCCTGGACTTGGAATGAGGCTTGGGTAAGCCTGTTGGTTAGCACATATGAAGGAACTTTTAAGAGAGTCTGCTGTGGTGCAAAGCATTTTATTAAAGTCTGTACTGCTGGAGGACATCCAACAATTAGTGGAAATGTGGGTTATTTTTAAAAGCTATACATGTATACATGAATGTCGGATTTTTCACCAAAATTTGTGTACCTTATGTTTTCTTTTTCCACCAACTGTTAAAAGTTCTCTCATGTTGGGGTCAGCCTCTTGACATTTTCTGATGCCCTCCCCGCAGTGTAAATCTTATTTCATAAGTGTTCCCTTACTTTCTTGGGAAAACATTTTAATTCTGGATTTGTAAAGCTGAAATCCAGTTCCCGTTCTGCAGGTCCCAAAGCAGACAGTTCTTAATGCTTCTCCATTTCTTCCACCTTGCATTTTCCCAGGCTGTCATGGTGTCCCTGCTAACAGATTACTCACCTCAGCTTCAGATGCCGAAGTTTTGATGACATGACATTTCTCAAGAGAAGGACACTGTTCTTCAGTGATAGAATGGACGAGCTTATGGAGAAAGGAGAAAAGAGTGTAAGACATAAACAAATTCCTAACGTGTGGTGTGAAGGAGCTAGCTGCATGCTAGTGCTTTGCCATGGTGAAGTGCTGAGGTACCATAATTCTTGGCTTGATTTAAACTCTAATTTACAATTTTTCTGAGGTACATTTTGGTATTATATTAATTACTGTACACATTTGCCTCAAATAAACATAAAATACTATGTTCATATTGTACAACATCTAAGCTATTAAATGTAATCTTGGCTTATTACCTTAATAAATGATCACCCAGGCTAATTTATAAGTAAACACTTAACAGGCATTCAGACCTGTGAGCTGTGATTATATGTTCCCCAGGACCAATAAACAAGCCAAATGATACATCCTGCACAGGTGGCACAGCTTTCAGACCAATAAAGTAGACAGATACTCACTTGTGAATGCAAAGCATGAAATTCTTAGAAAGTAGCTGTTACTGTGCCCAAAGTCTAGATTCATTTCCAGTCATGGGTGCAAAGCCCCTTTCAAGATCATGTACCTCTTTTTGTTAGTGAATACTTAATGTTACAAGTCAAAAAGAAGCCTCTGTTAGCAAGTGTTGAAACCCTGGAGACCCAGTCAGCTAAGCAAGTTCCATTACAGAGTAACATCTTCTTAAGCTCAAGTTCTCCAATACAACTTTCTCACATCCGCGTGCTTCTCTTACATCTACTTATACCCACACTGGAGGTTTCCCTAACTCTACACCTTGCTGCATTTTAGCTTGTCTTTTCCCTCCAATTGTTTGGAATAATCAGAATTTGTGTTATTGAATTATTCTTGTGTATTTGGAATTTGATTTCTCTTAAGAGTGAATAAAGCTTGTATTGTTGAATTGTTATATAATTTGACAAAATTTAGTTAGAATGTTAAATCGCCTAAGTGGAATTAAAAAAAAATTAATAACACATTTTACAAAATTTTTTTAAAAAATGTATTTCTTTATATTCCAACTCTACTATTAGAAGATGATTTCCATGTTGGTTGAGTGATAATCTTCAGCAGATAACTATCGTTTAAATGAGGAAGCAAGCAAAAATTAAATTTGCAATGAAGATGCAATAAAAACATCTTGTGGGAAAAAAACAGCTCGTGATGTTACAGGGAAAAAAATTAGTTCCCCAGTATGTGTCAAGAGTGACTTTTATGTCTATTATAATTTATTGGAAGCACTTACAAAAGAGAGTGGGATTTAGTGGAGTATGTTATTTCAGCAGAGAGGGTGGGGATGATTTTTCCAGAAGGTATCAGATGGGTTGTTCAAGTTCATCCTCAAATTTCCCTCATTAGAAGGACCCTGCGCCTTGCCACACGATCCCTCACAACCACAAAATCTCATCATTCTCCTGGTCATTTTTAAATCAGATGCACAGTGTAGCCTTTTTCTTCAGGCATCTTTTTTGCCAAATATAATCAACTTTTTCTCAGAAAGCCTCAAAGTCTGCTTTTTTACGTGCACGCCATTTGACTTCATTCTCAACTCAAACCTATAGATATGTTTCGCCTTTCTCAACGTTTCCTCTTTAGACAACACTGCTTACACTATCAGGAAGAAAGAAAACTGGAGTCTTTTCAGTTGTCTGCCCTATACGCGAACTTCCTGCGGTTGTGTTAACCACATTAGCAATCCTCCCACTCCAGTGAATTCCCTGGGAGGAGGCAACCGGCTTCTGATCCAGCCCCTTACACCCCTACACCTGAGAAATCAGCAGAAGATGACCAAAGTACTTGGGCCTCTGCTACCCATTTGGGATACCTGGATGGAACTCCCTTTCCTTTCCTTTTTCCTTTCCTTTTTCCTTTCCTTTTTCCTTTCCTTTTTCCTTTCCTTTTTCCTTTCCTTTTTCCTTTCCTTTCCTTTTTCCTTTCCTTTTTCCTTTCCTTTTTCCTTTCCTTTTTCCTTTCCTTTTTCCTTTCCTTTCCTCTCCTCTCCTTTCCTCTCCTCTCCTCTCCTCTCTTCTTTCTGCCTTTCCTTCCTTTTTAAGAAAAAAATAATTTGAGGGGAGTGGGGCGGGGGGAGGCAGCTCAATTACTCAATTGGTCAGTCATCCACCTGCAACCACCGGCATCCCATACGGGCTTTGGTTCCTATCCCAGATGCTCCACTTCCCATCCAGCTCCCTGCTTGTAGCCTGGGAAAGCAGTCAAGGACGGCCCAAAGTCTTGGGACCCCGCACCAGTGGGGGCGACCCGGAAGAGGCTCCTGGCTCCTGGCTTCAGGTCGGTTTGGCTCTGGTCATTGTGGCCGCTTGGGAAGTAAACCAGGGGATCTTTCTGTCTGTCTCCTTCTCTCTGTAAATCTTCCTTTCAAACAAAAATAAATAAAGTTTTTTTTTTTAAAAAAGGAATTCCTTGTAGGGCTGGTTAATATGCAGATTACCAAGCCCCACACTCAGGCTTCTCTGGAATGGGGCCTGAGAATTTATATTTTTGCAAGTTCCCAGGGTAGTGAGGCTGCTGATCCTAGGACCACACTCTGGGAATCACTGATTTGAGGCAATTCTCAAGACTGAGATGTTTTCATCTCCCCATCCATAAGGTGCCACTGTAAAGTATTCACACAGCCCAGATCATCTCACTGTCGCTTTGCTTTCTGGGCACTAAGGCTGGGTTTTTTCCCTCCACTGCTATGGAGCAGCTGTCTAATCCATTCTCATCTGTGAAATGGGAGTAGTATCATGTCACAGAGCTGCTTGCAGGATGAAATGAAGTAATGTAAAATTGTAGGTTTAGAGTGGATGCTAAATAAATATTAGCCCCATGGGGTTAGGTTGCAACATCCACCAGCAACAGCTCGAATCAGATGCAGACCAGGCTGGGCCAGGGTACAGTATGCGCTGGCAAATGCTAAGGTGAGGCAGACCATACCAGACTGGGTCGTAGCACCCACCAGCATACACAAAACCTGAGAGGAGGGGTGCGAGCCCAGTAGGGGGGGTGGCAATACGGGCTTCCCTGCTGAGCCACTGCTCCCACTGGTGAGTGTGAGAACTGGGGCTGGGGACAGACCAGGCCAGGCAGGGCTACAACACCTGTTGGCCTGTGTGTGAACTGGATTAGGAGGAGAACCAGCCTGGGCTAAACGACTGTATCCACTGGTACATGCATAAACCAGATAAGTGCCAGGTCAGGCTTTGCTGCAGCATCAGCTGGCAAGTGCTGAGACTGGGGGCAAATCCTGTCAAGCTAGACTGCAGAACCACCTGGAGAGTACAAGATCTGGGTCAGGCAGTGGGCCCAGTAGGGAAACTGTGGGCACCTCTCTGATGGGCTGCAACTCCCACTGATGAGCATGAGAACCAGGGCTGAGGGAAGGCCCGGTTAGACAGGGTGTGGCACCCGCGGGCATGAATATGAGCAGGATAGTGGGATTGATTGGGCTGAACTAGGCTCCAACACCCACTGATGTGTGAGCTGAATGGGATGTGGGACAGACTGAACCAGTTAGCTTCACATACCGGCATGCACAGGAACCCTGGCTAGGAACCAGGGCTAGGAGCAGGCCTGGTGGAGGTTATTGGGGGTCGCTCTGACTAGGCTGCAGCTCCTGCTGGTGTGCGTGAGGTCTGAGTGTGTGGTAGGCTGAGACACAGCATCCATTGTTTCGCTTAAGTGATGGAACTGGAGACAGAATTGACCCAGCAATTGCAACTGCCAGTGTGTGTGTAGGCTGATATGGATGATGAACTGAGCTGAATCCTATACATACAAACACACAAGAGTCAGGTCTGGAACCGCATCAGACAAGGCTTCTTTGGGGACCCTTCCATCCCTCCCCCCCTCCGCCCACTGAACAGCTACTCCAACTATGCAGTACATGTGTCAGAACTGGGCCTCCTCTGTGGTTAAGACAGAGCAACGGATGGCATGCCCAGATGCACATGGAGAATATGGCAGTCCACTGGGGTCTGCAGAGGATACCTGATACCATAGCAGAGGAAGGAGGACAGAACAAATTGGTCAATTACCCCAGCCAAGCACTGACAGCAAATATCTGGGCAAATGGAGACTCTAAATTGGACTATGTCAGCCAATGGACCTCGGAAGTACTTCCTCATCCTTGGATTGGTGAGATCGACAGCATATCAGAACTATTGAAACCACTTTGGCAGACCCCTTGAAGCATGCTCCACATTGGGGGCCCTGGGATGCTGGGTGGCCGTTCCTGGTCCCTATGTACTGGGGCAACTGGGAGGCTGGGTGCGTGTTCTCCCCTTATCTCCCTCCTACCCCAGATACAGGGAGAAGAAATAGAAAATTTGGAAACAATGGTCTCATCCAATTTCCCTTAATCCTTCACATTTCCTACCCTGATCAACTATGTAAACATCATGAAAAATAAAACATAAATTTTAAACAATTATTAGCCCCCGGCATATTTTAGCCTCTTATGAACAATATATTCAATGGAATAGTACATATTTCACAAGCACAAAGAAATACGTAAGTCCCTTGTTTTGTTCCTGATTTCCTTCCCCCAGACACTGAGAGTGCCTACTGATGTGGGAGATTGGAAGGGGTTTGCACCTGATATTTTGTTTTGGTTCCAATTTTAATATGCATGCGGCCAAAACAAGCCACTGACATTTTATATTTGTACAGAATCAAACATTTGTGGGTATCTATGAGAAAGAGTGACAAAATGAGACTGAGTGTATGCTCTAAGCGATGTGTAGCAAGAAAATCCTGCATGGGAAATGGGCAGCAGGGAGGCAGGTGCGGTCAGGAAGAGCAGCATGAAAATTCTTTTAAAAGTTCAAGACCAAGTTGACTCAGTGGCAGGAATAATCATGCAAAAAATTTTTTTAAATTACAAAAAAATCAATGCAGATTGGACTTGCTGACAGCAGAAAATAAGGGTCTCTGCTAATCTATGTTACTTTTATGTCAATCGATCCAGTCTTGCTCATGATGCTGCTTCTAAGCTGGCAGAGCATCCAGAATTCAACAGTGGACTTCTGACTCACAGAGCAACTGTTTTCAAAAGCCCTCCTGGCTACCTTGGCTTACGCCCTCTTTCAATTCTTTCATTTAAAAAAATCTGGCTTTAACTAGGGTCATGAAGCTAATGAAATGAATCATTCATTCAGTGGTCCACAACACAACAGTCACTCAGACATGTTTCAACAATACCCTTCTACTGAGCAGTACTCAACCTCAGTCACTGCTCCAGGATCCCTCTTTCCAGGATCCCTCTCAGGGAAGCAGGGACTACCCCACCACCTGCACCTCCGCTCAGCAGAAAGCAGCCATGGAAACTGTCCCGTCTCCCTAACCCAACATCACAACTTTTTTCCCTCCTTCCCTCCTTCCCCTTCTTTATTTTCTTGTTTTTTACATATTTTTCTATATATGGTAAAGTATTCGATTTATTAGAATCTGTAAGGCCACTAGGGGGTCTAAATCCGTAAACCAGATGAAACTGGGCACAGATGTAAATAAAGTCTAGTTTCATGTTTATTGCTGCCACACCTGGGACATTCCAAACTGCTAAGACAATGCACTGTCAGCCTCAACAAGGAGCCTTTCTGCAGATCCCCCAGCTATCTTCTCAGGGTCGGAATAAGCCTGGCTTCAAAGGCTCGCCCGGCTTGCTTTGCTCTGTCTGGGCAGGCTCGACCCCCCACTCTCTCTAAACCCACTTCCCCCACTGGGTCCTTCCAAAATAAGCTAATATCTACTTGAAAATAAAATAATCAAAATAACAAACGCTGACATTTTCTTCTGGGATTAGCAGAACCCAGCCACTCACGCCTCAGTTGAGCCATTTCCCTCTCGGAGCTGGTTTATAAATATGCTATTCATGGGAGAGAACTGACGCTTTGCCAATGCCAGAGCACGAAGGCCAACAAATCTGAAAATCCAATCGAGGCCACTGAACCCTTTGCTTTAGAAGACATAATGGGAACATACGGGTATGTGAAATAAATCAGAGGCATCCAGCAATTGTTAGGTTTCGGATCTAGCTGACAAAAGGAGGAAGGGTCAGGAAGGACTCCTCAGGGTTTATCAGCTTGGAGAACAGAACTGCC